CACAGCTTCAGGGACCGGATGGTCTGCTGTTGGACTCTACCTCTGAGCTCCGCCTGCTTAGAGACCACGTGGAACAGGTCTTTGCCAGACATCCGCCACTCGCACACCAGGTGGACTCGCTGCCGGAAATCCCGGCTGGTCTGCTGGCCAAGCACATAGGCTCCATCAGACCGCACAAGGCGGTACCGCAAGGCTCTGCTCCGGCGGCTGCCTGGCGGCTCTGCTCGGCGGCTGCGGGAGAGGCGCTAGCAGCATCGCTGCAATCTCGGGGGCAACGCCCATTGCCGGCTGCTGAGGTACTTCAGCCGCCCTTAAAGGATGCTGACTTGTGTTTTATCCCAAAGCCTAACAAGCCGGCCACGAAGCCTGGCAATCTACGTCCCCTCGGCATCATTCGACCAGACGGCAAGGGCCTGGCGGGGGCTTGTAGAGATCAGCTGTCTCCCTACACGGCTGACTATCTTCGGGGTCTCCCACAATTTGCCTACCAGCCACATCGCGGTCTTTCAGATGCCTTGAGCAGGGTCGTTGGTCATGTCACTCAGGTACGCAATAACTGCCAGGAGGCCCGACGAACCAGGCATCAGCTTCACTCGGGACGAACTCGTCCCCAGCTAGTAGGTGGCATCTGCTTTGCACTAGACTTGTCACAAGCCTTTGACATGGTGAGCAGAACAGACTTGCTTAGCACACTGCAGGAAGCGGGAGTCCCGCAAGACCTCATTGACCTAGTTGCCTCATTGCATGCTGGCAGTGCTTACACGTTTCGCACCCAGGGTGAAGAGGACACGGTCCAGTCCACTGCGGGCATTAAACAGGGGTGTAAGCTTGCCCCCACACTTTTTTCCATGCTTACGGGCACCATCTTCCGGGAGCTCATAGCTCTTGTTGGGGTTCGAGCCGTGGTGGACTACCTCACGGGCTACGCAGATGACCTTACGGTTCACCGTGACATCCACTCAATGGAGGACCTGGATCGCGCTCATGCTCTGATTGAGCAATTGTTGCAGTTGGTCCGTCGCCATGGATTTGCTGTCAACGGTGCAAAATGCACTGTTATGGTCAAACTCGAGGGCCAACAGGCGCAACGCGCCATCTCCAAGCACACTTATTGGCGCACCGCGCCTGACGGAACCCGCCATAAGATGTGGAGACTGGGAGAGTCCAAGTCTCACGAGGGCTTTCCGCTGGTGACGTCCTTTAAGTATCTCGGCGTCATGCTCTCCTACTCCAACTTCGAGAAGGCTACTCTCAAGTTCCGGTTGCAGGAGGGCAATGTGAAATTGCAGCAGGTACGCCGCTTCGTTCACAACAGACGAACGGCGGGGCCTGCATCGCGGTTGCACATTTGGCATAGCACTGTCTGGGCCACAGTAGCCTCTGGATTGGTGGATGTGGGCTTGACCCTAGAGACAGCTAAACTGTTGCGGGCTTGGCACGCTCGCAAAATTCGAGCTGTCCTGAACAAGCCAGCGCACCTGACACACATATCCACGGCTGACCTCTACGCCTCCCATGAGATCATGGACCCTGTCCGTAAGCTGCAGGCGCGACAGGCCAATCGTGTCAAGCGCTTAGGTGCTCGACGGCGGAAAACTCCTGCGGGGGACATCTCTTTAACCCAGCGCGCGCTTCTCCAGGCGGAGGCACTCTCTACTAGTTATGCAGACGTTCTGCAGCAACTTTCTAAGGACACATCACAGCAGGAGGCCCCCCCGTCCTTCGTGTGCCCAACGTGTGCTCAGGCCTTCGACACTGAGGTCGGTCTTCGCACCCACCAGGCCCGCAAGCATCCAGGCTCGGTCATCAGATATGTCCCTCGAGGCTTCTCCCACACCCTCTCTGTAGGAGGGCTCCCCAAGTGTGCGGCCTGCAACAGGCAATTCCCTCAGATGAAGGGCTTAAAGGACCACTTGCTATCAGGTGCCTGCTCGGAGCCAGCTAGGCTACAGGAGCTGGATGACGCGGCGCACCCTCCCTTGGATTCGCAGCATCAGCCCAGATTGCATCCCAGGCAGCAGCGCTTGCATGACACTCTGACAACACACACGGCTGTGGAGCTCGGACGATCTGATGAGTCTCAGGACCTTATGTCACATTGCTTGCTGTGTGGGTTCTGGACCCCGGACAATACCAAGCTCAAGTCTCACATCCGGCAGGCCCACAAACCTGAATGGGCGGCTCATGGCGCTACAGCTGCAACTCAGAGCAGCAAATCAGGCCTGACCCTTGTCAAGGGCATGCCTTGCCCGTGCTGCCGCAAGCCTGTTACGGATAAGAGGCAGCATCCGGCACAATGTCCGATCCTTTTTCAGATTCTGTTTTATGACTTGGTTCATGCACTTTCCCGCTGCCAGGGCGGACCGTTACGCAGGTACATGCCAGCGGTTGGCACGACACAAGGCAACGCACCCACACGGGACGATACCACCGCTGTTGGAGCAACGCCCCAGACTCGCCAGGCAACGCCTGCAGGCCCCCTGCCACCGAAGTCAGGGACAGTAGAATCAAAGGACGGCGCGCTCGCTGCTCCTCGCTCGCTGCGCAACATCTCCAACTACTGCTATGTTAACTCAACGCTGTCGGCCCTGGTGCCGACGTGCATCTTGCTGGAGCACGGAGGGGCAAGCACCTCCCTCCATCAGGAAGTGGCTGATTCTGTCTCTGGTTCTCCTTTCACCCTGACTGCCTCTTTCACGCTTCGCCATCTTACTCCCGCTTGGCGCTATGATGGCCAACAACAAGATGCTTCGGAGTTTCTAGTGGCCTTTTTTGCAGGCATTGCCGCCTTTCCGATTGCACGACCCTGGGAAGTCAGGGATGTAAACACTACTGAGGTCACCGATGCGGGAGGTCCGCTCGCTTTGCTGCCAGCTCCAACGACAGGTGGATCCCATGCACTTCAGGAGCTGCTCTCTCGGTGGTCTGGCCAGCCGGTGCACACCGCCTTTCGAGGGCAGCAACGACTGGTGGTTCTCACAGTGGCGCGATTTGTTGAAGGCCGCAAGCTCAGCTATGCTGTCACTGGTCTGCACCACCCCCTTCAGCTCTCGCAGTGGGCCCCGACGGGCTCCGTACAACTAGAGAAAGGATGGGTTCAGTCCTGTATCTTCCACATAGGTGACACCCCGCACAGTGGACATTATCGCTCCCTCTGGAGGAGCAACCCCGATCAACCTTGGCTCAGCACGGACGATGGTCGTCCGTCGGTTCAGGCCTCAGATTCAGATCTCAGGCAGGCACGCCACGGCTGCTATGTGCTGTTCGTGCGACTTGGTTCAATACCGCACACAGCGGAGGCTGGCCCTATGCCAGTCCAAGTTTCAGATGATTAAGCTGAGGGTTCCCCTGAGGCCAGGGGCCCCTACTTCCCCTTGCAGGAAGGGGGCGACCTACTGGCTCTGTGGGACCGACCTGCCTACACGGCAGGGAGCAGGAACGCTGTTGTTCAGTTTTGCTGCTCAAGTCGTACAGCTGACGTAGCTCCACTACTCAGCGTTTGTGTGCAATAGCGGCCTATACCTGTCATGCTAGTCGGGCAACGCTCGCTGCTTTCCCAGAAAGGCAACGCCTGTCAGCAACACAGCTGACCAATGGCTGAAATCGGCTTTACAAACCCCCATTCTCGGCTCGAGAAGGGGGGTTTGTCCGAGGCCTAAAAATCAAGGTTTTGCAACCCCCCATTCTCGGCTCGAGAATGGGGGGTTGTCCGAGGCCCCCAAGCCATTGCCGGCAAGCCTGGCCTCTGGAGGGGAGTACGCCTCTTACGAATAAGGTTAGCCTTATTAGGCACAGTGTGCTTACCGCCAGGGTGTGCCACATCGTTCACCGATGCAATCTGCTTGCCCACAAAAGCGGAGCGGCCTCAGATAGCAGCACTAGCAGCCGTTCCACATGCGCATCACCTTTGCGACCTTACGGCCCATCGCCTTTGATTGAGAGTGACCATGAGTGGGACGCCACGCAACAGGCACTCTGAGTGACGGTCCCGAGGGGGTACGGCTCATCAATCATCGGTCCGTGGACATGGGACGCCATAGCCCACACTGAGGGTGACGGAGGGTTTCTCACCCACGCCTGAGACGCATGAACCGGCTTTTGAGGTAGCTTGTAGGGTAGCTCTCTTCACGGTAGCCTGTTTCAGCGCTTTCAGGCCCAGGCCCTTAGCATTTCTGCTCTCAGACCTTTGTTCAGGTGCAAAGGCAGTCTCACACGCCCGCAATGAGCAGAGCCCGCTCGCTCAGCGTCCAATAAAAAATTGTTGTTGTTGTTGTTGTTGTGTCTTGAGCTTCGAGTTTTCCTGGCTTCAGTGTCCGTCGACAAAGCTTGTCGCAGCGAGAGACGCCCCTCAAAGTGGAAAACACATCGCGAGGGAACAGTGCAGAATCAACGCCCGCCTGAGCTCCATTTGATTCGGGAGCAGCGCTTGCACTTTCAGAGGGCTTGGCTCCGTTAGCGGAGCTCCGAAACACGGCATATACCCGCGATCTGTGGGCGCTGCCCTTGATGCTTCACCGAAGTCCCCGTGCCTTCGTCTCTGCAAATAGCACACTCAGAGAGTCAAGCTAAAACTAGCAAAGCATAGCCTCTCAAACTGTGCAATAATTTCTGTAAATGTAGAGTTCCACGGGCTCCAACATGTGCAGGATTTGAAGCTATAGGTTGATCTGGTTCTGTAAGATTGAGACTATCTTTCTGATGGCTTCGTCAGTAGAGATTGCCGAAAGGGAGTGGTCCCTGTCTCATTCCAGGCAGATGTCAACCCTGCTGCGAGAAGTTTCCAAGCAACTGCACATGCGATGACCTTGAGAACGGGACTGACAGTTGTCGGTCAACGAACTTTCACCATCTTAAAACCAAAACATGTTTGAGCGGAAAAGGCTTGACTCATGTCGCCAGTCCTTTGAGCCCCGAACGGAAGCTCAACTGCTGACCGTGCCCATGTCATTTTCCAAGTTTCTCTCTGTGATGACTCGGAGTCGCTGAGTGGGATCGGCAAGGCCGTGGACGGGAGGGACGGAGATTGGGGACGGAGGCGGCCGGGTCCTTGGTAGCCTTCATGAAAGCGGGTCCATCTGTCCCTTCAGCTTCTGTGGCATGTCGCCCTGTGCTAAGAAGAAACGGAACGAGCCGGAAGCCGCGATGCCCTCAGCCGAGGCTTTGCAAGTAGAGAGTTCAATGCTGCAACACCAAAGATCATCACACAAGAGCTCAAGCTTCAAGTGCATCTTGCGGTCGTCAATTCGTCTGCACTGTAACAACATATCAGGTGGCCGCCAGCCAGCGGACAAGGCCCGGACATTCTAATTGATATTCTGCGTGAACAAACGCCACAAGATGGCTGGGCTTCCAGGTGCAACGCCTTGAAGAAGAAAATGCAGCGTCGGTTCCCGAGTTTGAAGACGAGGTCGCAATTTACAAGAGCAATGTCTAGTGGCACAGGCTCGAACCTCTGCCCAGGCTTCGCGAGCTCGTTCGGCGCTTCCACATCAAGCTAAAACAAGATAACTCGACTAAGGCTCCAGAAGCATAGCTGGAAGAGTTCATCACCTCTCTCTTTGAGCCCTGTCGTTTCAGCATGCAGGTGCAGCCAGGTAGAGATCCTTGCGCAGGGCGCTTGCACCAAAAGGCCAAGTTGCTCAGCTAGTTCTGGACTGTGTGGCATCTCTACAGTGCAGGCTGTTTCTTTGCCTTCCGTGTGGTCCTCGCCAGAGCCGCTCGCAGCACGGGGCTGAGAAGCTTTTGACCACGGAGAAGTCTATAGGTCAGCTAGTTTACTCATTGACACTCAGCTCCCCTTTTCGTTTCCTCAGTCGTCGGCTTGGGCTGTGCGGCACTAATTTTACAAGGCCGCGATGTTGCGGCCTCCGCGTCGGCGCCCGCGAGGGCCCCATCCTGCTGTGGCGATGCAAATCGCAAGATGATGTCAAGTTCCGCCGTGAAGGACTTTGGTCCCGGCTCTGAACCTGTCAGACATATGGGTGTCTTGGCTGTTTGGGCTTAGCACTTAGTTGACCTTAGTTGTGGGGACTGTCGGTTCTTCTCTCTGACCAGACATCCCCAAAAGCTAGCTTCGGCTTTGCGAATCTGTTGGCCAGAGGCAGGATCGCATTGATGGTGTTTCAGGGTTTCAGCTGGTCTATTGTGCAGCTCCATTTCCGGACTGGTTTTCCAAGGGGGAATGCTTCAGCTGTGGCTAAGGATTCCTCAGAGTATGTCATATCCTCAGAATTCGATGTATCTCGGCTATTGCAGCCATCACGACATACCCGCGGCCTAGGAGGAGGAGGAAGAGGAGGAAGCGGATGACAATGACGATTCCGAGGTGCCACTGCCAGCCCATTTCTTGTTGCATTCCTGCGGACAAGTGCGGAGTCGATCGGGAGAGCATCCAAGTAGAATTTCCCGCATCTTGCAAGACCATACTTCTGAAGGTCTTCGATGGCCCTGATGCAGCCATGGCGGTCCTGGTGGCGTAAATGAGCGAATTCCATTTACGGTGCTGGCGGCGTCGGCAGCAGTCATGCTGTTGTTGAAGGAGAGGCTGTGCATGGTGATGGCAAGCGGTTGATGAATCAGCGGACGCTTGCTGTAGCTGCTGCAGAGCGAGCAAAGGCGGGCTCGTGTGTCTGAAATGGAAACGCGAGCCCAGAACTGGCCAGTCAGCGGTTGCAGTTTCACAGAGTTCTGTGGCGAGTCCTGCCAAACACTGGCAGTGCTCATAGAGAAGTTGCAGCATTCCCATTCATTGTGCTCTCGAGGAACATGTCGGAGTGCTTGCTCCAGCGTTTGGAGCTCTGCGAATCGCATGCCAGTCGTGCGCAGAGGGAATGGCCGAAGCTGGGCTTGATATTCTTGGAATGGCGGCTGAAGTTGTGCTTGATAATCTTTTCGGCTCGCCACACTTGTTCGCTGTAGCCTCCGTCGAGCTGAAACGGCTCGTGCCTTATGATCTTGTTCTTGCAATAACGGGTGCAGTTCCGTCAGCTGCTGTGCGTGTGCGTGTGCGTGTGCGTGTGCGTGTGCGTGTGCGTGTGCGTGTGCGTGTGCGTGTGCGTGTGCGTGTGCGTGTGCGCGTGCGTGCGTGTGTGTGTGTGTGTGTGTGTGTGTGTGTGTGTGTGTGTGTGTGTGTGTGTGTGTGTGTGTGTGTGTGTGTGTGTGTGTGTGTGTGTGTGTGTGTGCAGACCCAGGTGCCCTGAAGAATGGGCGCGTGTAACTGTTCTGGCGAGGCACGGTGACGTGAGAACAGCAGAGTTGAAAGTCCGCCAGTCCTCTCCTGTGCAGTCGGCAAGATGCAACTTCGGTGACAAGCAGCCTGTCGCCTCTTGGAGCCATCATAGCACTGTCATAGCAGCATACTGGTAGCATGGCAATCGCATGGCCTAGCCTCTGAACGCATATATCGTCGTAAGTTTGAGGTGAACCTCACCCCTGGGGCGCAGGACCGTCCCTGGACACGTTCCAGTTTTTTTTGCTTTAGCAGGTGCTGGCCCGTTCTGGAGGATCAGGCGGGCGTACAGCGAGGGCCCGGGCCCGGTGCGTCGTCGGCAGCTGCCAGCTCGCTGCCCAAGGCCTCGGGTCCCGAGCTCGCGCTCCCCAAAGTAACGTCTGGCCGTGTGGCCTTCGCGCGTCCGTGCCAGGCAGCGGCGGCAAAGCAGCTTGAAGTCCCGACCATACGCAGCGCGACGGGCAGTTTGACGTAAGCTACCCCCGCTCAAATTCCGGATTTCTGGAAAGGAAGGTTGTGTGAAGAGCCGACTGAGAGAGACCTCTTACGTAAAGCCTTGACAGCCTTACTCTTGACGGAGAAGTGTCAGCGGGTTTTCTCGACGAGCCAGGAAGTAAAGGTGTCTGGACGGGCTTTTCAGTCGTCTCATACATATGCATTCCGAGGACGCCCGGATGAAAAAACGACAGGACTTCCGCAGGCCAGCGACACTGCAGTGATGAAGAACCAAAGTCCGTGCCATCAGCACCACCACTGCAGGACACTGATGGCTCCGTCCTGGAGGTTCGAAAATCGCAAGACTTTGTCCTCCTTGCACTCTGGGACCTCAAGCCTAACACTGCTGAAAGAGAGCTCTACCTGACAGGATGTCCGCATCACCTTAGATGATGGCTCGGCTTTGTCCTTAAACATCGGTCAACCTAGGCAACTGCACCGACTGCTGGCCGCGACGCACCGTAGTGCAATGTTCAAACACATCAGGTCTACAACGGACAGTGCCGAGATGGTGTTTTCAACGGGGAGGTCGCAGACATACCTCTGCAACCGTTCTGTCCGTGGCAGCTCTTGAGAACTTCTTGAGTCCTCTGCGATGCATTTTGCTCCAGGGCACGCTGACGATGCCAGACGGCGCCGTCTATGAGGGCCAGTTCAAAAATGGAAAAAAGCACGGTGTGGCAAAGTGAGCCGCCGGTGCCGTCGGATCGCAACTTCTATCTGCTGTGTTCCGTCCGGCAGGTACACTTACGCAAACGGAGCCATCTACGAAGGTGAGTACAAGGAGGTGCCCGCATGGGTAGGTGCCTCTTTTCCGTCTTTGCCTACCTTTGCTTAATGACTGGCTTGTAGCTACGCTTCACACAGTTCGGGGGCTTCGAACTTTTTAGCCCAAGAGCACGTGAACTGCCAGAGTCTTCTGAAGGAGTCTTGGCACTTATTGCTGCTCAGGATGCCAAGGACGGAAAGGGCAGACTGATCTGCGACGGCATCGGGACATTGGCTGAGGCAAGGCAGTTGCAATGCTCTGCAGAGCTGCTGTAGTGACTGCGAGGAAGGTTTCTCACTCAGTCGCCCGAAGACCGGACGGCCCTTCAAGAATGTTCTGGGCGCAGGCCTCCACGTACGAAGGCGACTGGTTGAATGACCTGCAGGCAGGCATCAAAGCCATCGCTGCGGTCCATTGAACCCACTAGAATGGTTGGGATCCTGAACATGCGGCAGCACCTCAGTAGACAGAATGTCCGCAACGACACTTGCAAAACTCCTCTCGTTTCCCCTACGGCGTCACAAGAGCAACCGTGCCCCCTCTGCAGGCTCATAAATTACCGCGAAGCGTTGTGGTTGTTGAGATGAAATCTGTTACGAGAGAGCAAGCTGGAGTCAACGTGGAGAATCTGCCTGTCATCCAAGCCTAAGCCATGCGTCTTGGAAGGACGGCCAGGGTATCGAAAGATGGGGCGATGGCTCTGTGTTCACCGGCTCTTTCAAAGATGGCAGGACCTGCTGCAATTGCTCCAGAAGTCCTAGGATTCGTGGATGTCCAACAGCTACAGGAAACATGGCCATGGCAAGTTCATGTGGGGCGAAGGCTGCATGTACGAGGCATCGGGACTTGATTGCTGCAGACTCAGTCAAGTTCGCCTCGGCATGCTTCGGCAAATTCCAGGGAAGCTTCCTCAACAACGACATGCACGGGGAAGGCTGGACAGAAGGCTTGTTTGCAATCAAACTGATCGCCAGTGACGGCTCGAGGTCGCTACGTCTGGGCAGACGGCCGTCAATATAATGGTGAGTGGGTAGAAAATCAGATGCCAGCGGCTTACGTTTGATTTTTCTACGCATCCCTGACTCAGTTCATGCTGCCCGCTGCCCGAGGCATGGTCCTGGCACGATGCGATGGCCGGACGGTCGCATCTTCGAGGTCAGGCTTACGTTCTGTGCCGGGCATTCTGAGCTCTCAGCAAACCCAGCATAGCATGTCATTCCAGGGCGATTTCAGCCGCGGCAAGAAGGTCGCGGCGACATCCGGCCGATTGCTGTGCAGCCATGTGCAGCCGTAGTGACGTGCTCTGCCGCCTGCAGGAAGGCGAGGGCACCTTGACATGGCCAGCCGAAGACTCAGACGCTGCGTCATAGCCCCGCTTCACTGTGTGGCCGTTTCGATGGGCTTGGCAGAAAGTGCCAGCCCCGCTGCCATGAACGTACCGTCGTGCGCAAAACCAGGACGGTCGTACCTACGAGGGCCAGTGGGCTTGTCCCTCAGTGCAGCTGACAACGAATCATGTCCTTGGGCTTTGGACTTGTATTTATGCGTGTGTCTGTGTTCGCAGCTCTGCTAACAAGCCTTCGGCAGACGTGCAAACTTGCGTTTGAACTGGATGCATGGCACGTGCCCACAAAAAGTCGTGGGTTTCGCTGCCTTAAACGAAACCAGCTTTGAAAGGTCGTCCAGAGCAGCCCGTTGCAATTGCTACGACATAGTTTTGTGCAGCATCAAATAATGTTTGCAAAGAGAAGGAAGGAGAGCGCCAGATATGAATAAACATAGCTTACCACAAGTATCTTATGAGGGGCATCGAAGACTCTCTCTCCTCTCCTGCTCTCTCTCTCTCTCTCCGGCTCTCCGGCTCTCTCTCTCTCTCTCTCTCTCTCTGTCTCTCTCTCTCTCTCTCTCTCTCTCTCTCTCTTTGCACACCTTTCCATTTCCATGAGTGTCGTGCCGAGATCCATGGAAAGCAGCACGGGATGGGCGTGGTCACCACGTCTAAGGCTCCGTTGCCATTCAAACCTGCAAGCGTCTTTCGTTGGTTGTTGGAGTGGCAAGTGTTCCGGGCGTCGACTGCCCGTTTGCTCTTTGCTCAGGGCACGGGCCGGAAAAGCTACTGGAAAGATGGAAAGTGCCCTCCCAAGCTAGTGTGTCTTGTCGACGTCAATGTGCATGGGGGTCCATGTTCTTTCAAGGTTCATCAACTGGGTGAATACCAACTGAAGCAGGCAGACCTGTCTTTCGCGAATTGCTTTGTTGGCCGACCCTGGCCCTTTAGTGTTTGAGAAGCTGCGATGACATCCGGCGTCCGGACAATCTGCACTCAGGCTAGTTCATCTGAGTCTGTCTGTACACAAGATGAGTGCCTTTCTTGCAAAAGATGCCATCGCATGCACATTTATTTTTATCCCGTGCTCTGGAGCTTGGTGCAACCATTACTGCTTCATGCTCCGTGCAACTGAATCCATGCACATGAAGCAGGAGTCAGGAGCGTGAGCCTGTTCTGCAGGAGCTGTCCTGTCACCAGACGTGGAAGTTTACCGGTGCCTAAAATTTAAGGCTTAGGCGCTCTGACTGCGCTCTGCCGCCCCCGTTCAATCCGAGCTGCGCATGCAAGTTCACCTTGTTGAACGAGAGGTAGTGAACGCACATAGGCTGAGAGAATACCAGCAGCCGGAATGTCATCCCTTTACTCACCTTTTCTGTTGATTTTCCGATGGCACCAAAGGTGTCATTGTCACGGCAGCTGCAAGGCACGCAGGCACAGCGTGCCCGCCCAACTGGATGTATACCAGATGAGCTGAAACAACCGGGGTCCTCAGGCGTTGCGTGTCATTGCCCTGCATTTCCGCCACACCCTAGTTGTCAAACGTTCACAGTCGTGTCCTCATGGAGAAGCAACCAGAAGCCGAAGCCATGTACTATGAATCCTATGTGCGATTGTATCAGTGCACTAGTGTAGTGGAAAAATCCTGCTTGCATGTGGTTGCTACTTTGTGGAGGCACGCTTGTCGCATCAGCTTGGAAAGCCTCGCTTTCACAGAGAGGGGTACCAGGCGGTTTCACAGCGCGAGAATGTATCACAACGCCGCCCAGATCATGTACCTTACTGACTTACTGCGGCTGATAATGCTTCTGGCCAACGCTCACTCATGGGGCAAGGTCAGGCCGGTTATACATTGCGGGCTCTTTGGGCTGGAGAGTCGTAGTCATCCTCTCTAACCGTTCATTAGCTGCCACAGAAGCCTAGGATGCACCAGAAATCTCCGGAGAGCCTCGCACGGTGTCCATATCTTACTGGAGTCTCTCCTGCAATTGTGGGCCTGAACTTCTGGCAGAAAAAACAGCCGAGCATTGTCGATGCCGTACTAACTAACAGGAACTAACAGCTCCTCGCAGGGAGCGCTTCACACGCGTGTTCGGCCACTCTGCGTTTCAGTTTTTGCTTGCTGTTATTCCATGCTCAAGAGCGCATTCCATTGCCTGATCCTGAATCATCTCCTTTCCCAGACATGACGCATGTAGGAAACACATTTCAACGGTGGGATTTGAGAGAATAGTAGCGTAGCAGCACAACGAGCATTCCAAACACTCTCGCAAATCTTGCCAACTATGTCGATGGCACTGCCACCAAATTGGCAACGGTCGCCTGTGGGTTGTGCAGTTTCGAGGTTCCTTTGTGTGGTTGTCATCCTTGATGCATGTCTAGGTACACAACCGAGGATGGCAAAGAATACTTTCACAATGCGCCACCCTCACGGAGTCAACCGAATAGTAGCAGTCAGTTGATCGAGACACTGTAAAGGCGTGTGCAAATTGTCTCAGGCTGTGATGAACAAGACGCAGTGGGATCGGCCCAGCTGGGACGAGGTGCAGGAACAGACCACAAATCAACTCCCAACAAACGAGCTGCGATATTGCCGGTGCTGTGACAGGCTTCTGGCACATCAGATGTTTGTTTCTCAGACGTACTCAGGAGGATAAGCACCATCTCGTGTGTTCAGGAGTTGCAGAAAGCATGCAGGTATCGTCCAGGCTTGACATGTTCTTGCACTGGCACAGCCAGCCAGAGTCGTCAATTCATCACTTATGCACAGTACGTGTATGCGTGCTCTAGCGTTGTGGTTTGCCTCAAGAGTTGTCAGCCTCAGAAGACTTGGCACGAGCCAGTACTGGTTCTATGAAGAGGCCGGATGTTGTACGTCAGCAGTCAACATTTGCCCGAGGTGTTTCAGTACAAGCCCACTGCTGCAGACCTGGAGGCGTTGACAATGACTTCTCTTCTTGACATGTGGAGACGTGCGGGGGGGGGGGGGGGGGGGGCATCCTACTATGCCAGTAAGTGAAGTGATAATGCGTGCGAATTTGGAGCGGCGGAGCGGCCGGCGGCAGGTTCGTCCTCAAGCCACCCCGGTCTCAACTGGCCGCCAGGCCATGGAGTCCGGGAAATCCGCAAACTGCGCGTCTTACTTTCCTCATCATGCTTGTGCCACCGATACGAACACCGACTTGCGAATGGAGAGCAGATAGTCCGAAGTCGTAGTAGCAAGTGTGAACTCCGGGGGCAAGACTTGACGTTTTATGTGGTCTGAGCCCTCGCAACTAGCAGGAGTTAGACGACATCTTCACGGGAGCAGCGAGGAGCTATAAGTCCGATGAGACCGTGGATCTGCAAGGTGGCCTCCACGTGATCGTTGCATCTTGCCGAGGCTCCGCAGACCAGCGAGCTGGTGTCTTTAAAAGACGAGCCCACAGGAATCATGGGCCACCAGGTTGCACTGCCGTGCCGACAGGTATCTAATGCTCGTAGGCATTGGTCCAGGGTGAATGATGTCGCAGCTTTCGTTTCAAGGTGCGACTCTTTTCTGCCATGGTTTGCTCTTTTCTCTTGTTTTTGGTGCCAGCAGTTGAAGCCGTGCAATCCCGCTCAGGTTCGAGCAGCCAGAGGGCCACACAAAGTTCGCACATCCCACCGCAGGCATCAGCAGGCCATCCAGAAAGGGGAAACACCGAATGCACTTTGAGGAACGTGCAGTTGCACGGTTGAAATGAAGCTCATATCGATGCTTGTCACCAAGCCTTGTCTGGCCACCTCTTAAGGCAGGGCTGTGCGAGAAATCTGCAGGCCTTCAACAACTTCGTCCTCGCCACACGAAGCCATTTGGATCTGGAGTACTTGCAATCAGCCTGCTGTCATCATCCATCCAAGAGTAAGTTCTTTCACCTGAAAACAGTCGTATTCGCATGCAGTGCCCAAGTAAACTGCATCGACATCGATCGAGAAGCATTTTCCGCACGATCTGCGCCATGTTCCGATTTCTAACCCGCAAGCTGAAGGCTTGCATTTGCATTGTACCAGCACAGCCCATCCAGCAATGAGCAAAAACTCACGTGGCAGGGCGAGGATGAGAAGAAGGGCGAGGACTTGGTCTTGTCACTGTTAGTTTGGACAGACCAAACTTGCGATTTGCAGCGGAGGACCCTTACGCTAACCTGGAGCCTGAGCTGAAGGCAAGTGCGGCAAGTGGGCAAGCTTTGCGTGAAGTGGCTCGGCGGAAGGTGCATGCAGCTGCCTGCAACAATGATGTAAAGATGCTGGAGAAGCTAGGGGAGGAGCGCTTGCAGAAAAGCCTCTTCTACAGGTGGTGTAATTGGGCTGCAACCTTTTTGGCGGCGACCAGAGCGGCGTTCATCAGTACTCAAACCATCGAGTCAGTCTAGTCCATCCAAAAGCTGTCAGCCATCTGCTTGTCGCACTGCAGGAGGGTATCGATTTCAACCAGCCCAGACCACAGGACAGCATCCGACTTCTGCTTGGAAAGACATGCTGGATACCATTGTTATGAGGCCCTATCTTGCTTGTATGCAGGATGGCTACTATGCCCTAGATGCCTGCGCCTGGCAGAAGCCTCAGTTTCACAAGGCTCGGTCAGTTGATGGGCACTTATGTAGCACTCAGGTCTGGAAACGAAGATGCTATCAAGATGTTGCTGCGGCACGGCGCAGACCCAGCGATTACCCTTCAGGCTGGTTGCAAATGTCATCCTCGAGCCTTGCTTTCAGTTTCTGTGTCGTAGTCTTCAACTCACCGACGCCATAATCTGAAGATCTGAAGCTTGATTTACAGGCTGTCGTGGGAGCAGCCTCCTGGGGAGATCCTGATCTCCTCAAGGCGGAGACAGGGTCCCTTTGGAAGAGCGGTGAAAAGAAGCGCAACCAGGTCCTGCTCGATGCAGGTGGCCCTGTCGACCAGGCAGGTCCAAAAAATGTGTTCAACTGAGCATATAATTCCGTTAGATTTTCGCAATGCAGGAGCTTTCCAATGAGACGGCTCTCCGCTGGGCTGTGCAGTACGGCCACGAGGAGCATCGCATGGCATGCCAGGAGGCTACGTTTCCAGCATCCAAGCTGTAGAGGACTGTGCAGCTCTGCTGGTGCAGAAGGCTGTCGCGTGAGCTCTTGGTGATTTTGGCATGACATGAGATGGCCAGGGAGCATGGAAGCTCGAAACCAACCAGGACCAAACCATTGTTCGGTGTGCGTGTTGAGTGTGCGTGCTGGAATGGCGCATCTGAGTAAGACACTGTGGTGTCTTTGTCAGGAGCTGGTGCTGCGAAGGGCGAAAGGAACCTTGGCCGGGAGTCCATCTGCTCGCGTAGCATGCTCTAAGCATGCATCACTCAGCTGCTTTTCTGTGGCAGTACATGGGTCAAAATCTCGCCGGTGAATCGTGCACCCCAGGAAGAAGAATGCGGAAGCTTCTGGAGACTATCGCCCAGGCAGATCCTGATCGAGCAGCAGACTGTGTGGTGCCGCCGTGTTGTCCCCCGCTACTGGGCTGTGTATACTGAGTCAGACTCCGGTAATCGAGTTGTTGGGGCGGATACTCCATGTTCACAACTTCGTAAGTGTTTTGCGTGGCCAGTAGGGGTTTGTCTTTTGTTCTCACAGCAAGGAGTCACAAAGCACTGCATCTTGCAGCATTTCTCTTTGGGGGCGACCACGTACATGAAGCAGTCGAAACGGATCCGCCCGTGTAGGCAGTACGTTTATAATGGAGCGCGCCATAAGTCGCATGGCACGTCTTGTGGCTTTGACTAGCGGAGCAGGTGTTGAGGGCTTCTGGCATCTTCGGGCTTCGGCTTCACGGCTGACTTCGAGCTAAGGTCTTGCAGCATTCAGTGAGGCTTTCTGCTCCGCCACGGTCTGCTGCCGTGTACTGGCCCGGATGTGCTTCCGATGCGTTCCGAAGCACACGCATGCTACCAGGCTGATTCTACTGCGATCATGGACAGCACATCTACAAGATTTTTCGGCCTGCGGAGCACATGTACAGGAACGTGCCTTTCGCGTGAGCTTTCTGGGTTGCTCCCTGGCTCCCAAAGCTAGCTGCAAGAAGTTGCAAGCAGCATTTTCATGCCTTGCAGATGCTAAGTGCTGCCCTGAATGGGGCAAAAGCTACTTGCATCGCGCAGTAAAACATTGGCCAGCCAGCCTGTAGACTCATGGCCGCTTGCAGTGCACTGTGTCTCGTCCAGGCGCTGGCGGGCTCGGTGGCTATGCTGCAGGGTTTGCCGCAGGCATTCGACCGTGTTGGCAGGATTCCTTAAGTTGGCCTGGCATACATGCAGGCGCCGCAGCTGCCGCAGCAGGGGCAGCGCCTGCCGAGCAAGGCACGGGCATGATCGTTGCCTGGTTGATTCGGACATAGTTTTGGGAATGTCCCAGCATCACGGAGTCATCGTTCCATGGAGGTGGCATCACAGGCTTTTCGGCCTGGATATTGGCACTTGCACAAAGCCTCTTTGACGTCAAAGGCTTAGCAGGGCACTGCCTTTACAATGACAAGCGCGCAAGCGGTCACGAGGGGCGCCTAACGATCAGTTGCACCCAGGTCAGCACAGATGATGTAGTTCGTCGGCTGAAGTTGCTCTCGTGCCCCCTGCATTGTTCAATTTCTCACGCTGCTTGGGCGTCCCTGCCTGGCTCCTCACTGCAGGCCGTATCCGGCTCCAGACAGGTCAACGGCCGAGGAGAGCGAGTTCTGTCTTTCGCCTGTGCCCTCGGGGCGACGGAGAGCACTTTGCGTTCTCCCCGCCCATGTGCCATGTGCCCACCCCCTGAATGCCCTCGCAGATGCTGATTGGCTGGTGCAAACTCCACGCCAGGAGATGCGGGCACGTCCTGACTTCTATGGTCCGGCGGCTAAGGCTCGTTGTTTTCTCGCGTGACTGTGTCAGAGCATAGGACCCTTCTGGATCGCCACCACGGCCGTGCTTTTCCTAGCAGCCACAGGCAACTTCGCCAGGCAAGGGTGTGTCGTTTGCCACACTGTGTGGATGGCTCGGCCGCCGTGCTGCAGGTTGGTCGAATCGGAGCACCCCAGCCTCTTTAAGGCTCGTGGGTCAGCAGGAAGTGCCCGGCTGCCCCGAGCGATGCGGCGATGCGCTGCAAGGCAGACTACAGCTTGGTGCCCCTCGCTGCAAGCATTATCTACGGGTTTCGACCTTGGAAGAAGGCAAAAGATGCAAAGTTCCCCTATTCTCTCCCGCACCGAACCAGGGGCTTGCTTGCGGTGCCGCTTTTAGCACGAGTGCCGGCCGCCTCAATCGCTTTGTTGTCCAGCGGTGGCATGTGCTTGCGAGACATTCCTGCTGTGAAAGCTTGGTCAGGTCCGTGTTCTTCACAGATGAAGAGGCCTGGGCATTACCCTGTGCAGTATCTGAATAGTAGTCGAGCCTGCGAAGACAGACCGAGTGGAAGGTCGGAAATATTGACTTCAAGCAGATCGTTTGCGTGTGTGGGTGCCGCAGCAGCAGGACACGATTTCGAGATTTTTCGCGATCGGCTGTTATTCCCCATTCCTTGAGATATGCCCGTCTCGTCGCCTTCAAAAGTGTGCATTAAGGTATGGATTGGCTCCCTCGATTCCAGTGCACCTTCCTCGGCAAAGAAACGGGTTCTGCTTGAAAATCGTTCGTTTTGCCTATATTGCCTTCCTTTCCCACGGCAATCTGTAGAACATTGCATGTTGTCTAATGACCTCGGACGGGAGTCCATCCTCAGGTCCATTCTATGCATTATTCCAGTGTCCTTCCTTCGGTGGGTCTTCGTGCTTGGAGGTACGTATTGCTGTGACATGACTTCGCATGTTTCAAAGAAGGGCCATTGACCATTATTGTCTCTTCACAGGGCTGGCCCTTTCGGTCTACTTCTTGAGGGCCAACTTGCTCATGGACATCTCAGTCAAGGTGCCAAGGCCTTAGTTTTGGATTCGGCGGGCAAGGAAAGAACACTTGCGGTGTTCGGCATTTTCAGCGTCCGCTAAGGCGATGGCTTCAGTTGACGCTCATCGTGTCTCCTGTGCTCCTGCAGGCAGAGAGATGTGAAGCACACTGCAAAGGTTCAGATCAACCGTTGGGGCTCATTACCCTTCTGGGGTGTGTGCATGGGCATTTTTTTGACACTGAAGACATGGCAATGCAGTACCTCGCATCAACGCCTGAAGCCTGTACAACCCCTACAAAACTTATTGAGGGTGATAAACCTGTGCACATGCTGGCTGCGCTTACAACCTGTGCATCGAATGCGATGGCCCACAACTTCCGGCTGGTGGGAGGAGTGAATGCCCAGGGCAATGAAATGCGAACCAAAAGTGCAAGGCAGATCCATCACCTGGGTCAGTCCGTCCCTCCTCCCAGTGGCCTGTGTCAACACACCGTACACAACTGGCGGCAACATTTCTGCCCTTGCTACATGGACTGAAACTGTAAAGGGTGCTAGCATGGGAAAGCAGCACAATCTCAGCACGGGAAGGGAGCTTTGGGCCTTTCATCCTAGGAATACTCTGACCCTCAAGCCTGGCATGCCAAAACCCATACCTAAGAATGAGAGCCTCCTGGACAGACCAACATCGACGATACAACACGTCTTGAATGCTCCGTCGGACGTCCAGTGTGTGTATGGGCACGAGACGAGGAAGTTAATGAAACAGGTTTTACAACAGGTCAGCGCGACCAGGCCAGATCCATCGCTGACCCCGTGCCAGGTTTTGGTCTTCTTCATCTACAGGGTGCGGTTCTTTGCGGGCGCCCGGCAGTGACAGAAGTAAGGTGTGCAAAGCAAGGACCTCTGCATCGCCAGAAAATGGCGCTTGCACGCTGCTGCAGAGCACATGCGCGCCCCAATGAAGCTAGGCAGTCCGTGTACATGTCAGATGCGTGTTGCACTCCAATCACACTGCCCTCTTACACTTACGGAACAAGATGGCCCCGCGCCGTTTCAGAGTTCAAGCTGAGCTCGAGTGAACTCATTCTCCAAGTTTCCCCGTACAGCCATGGAGGCAGCCCAGGCGCAACTGAAAGAGCAGGCCAAACTGAAGATCGAAGAAGAAGTCGCGGGAGAAGCTCCTGGCTGCGTCAAGCCCTTCTTCATGTGCTGTGGCGGACCAGTTGGCACGGTGGAAAAATGCATGTGCATGGTTGCCGTGGAGAAGCAAGACAATGTGAAGAAGGCCATCGAGAAGTACCGGAAGCTGTAGAAGCCTGGGGGATGGGCAAAGCCGACTACCCGCTACATCGCAGTCTCTTGATCAGGGAGCAGAGGGAACAGCGGGGCACCAGCCTTGGCGAACTTTCACTTTTTCAGCACTTGGCCCGTCAAGTACAGACTTGCTTGATGTGTCGCGCCTGCGCTGCGCAGTGCGAAGTGGCGCCCTACTAGCAAATTCAGTTGTCTCTCTTTCTCTCAAACAGAATTCAGCGAGAGTGCAAGCGCCGTTGAAAGGGGTCCTTGTTATGTTTGCACAGTTCCTTTCTTTTTGCCGTTGAGGTCAAGATGTTTTAGTAGGACTTGGTATGTCAGCACTGCAGGCTCTCAGTTGTTGGAATAGAACAAGGAGAACAAGGAAATCACCGACCGATTGCCGTCACTTACGAGAAGCCAAACTCTCGATAGCTCTCGATTGCCTGGACCTTCCCCCAACTTTGCTAACACCAAGTTACACTCCAGAGTTCCCCTGCTACCCATGGAGATGAACCACGCTGGTGTGCTTCCAGCCAATCTTGCAAGTTTCTCAGCCAGTGCAGCAGTTCATACTAGTGCAAGACCTGTGGTAGTCCTTGAGTCCCATCCTTGGTCATGCCACGCCGGGGCCGGTCCGGCAGCCGGCATCGAACCCGCCGCCGAGCGGGCTCGTCGGCACGAAGGCAGCGGAGCTGGAAACATGCTTTGAGCATCGAGCCAAGTAGGCCGTGCTGGTCTTTAATCGCCCTTGACAGGCAAAGCCGGAGGTCACGAAGCCGAGCCAGACCGTTTCTTTCCCAGCTGAGCCCTTCTAGTGATTCTAGTGCTCCCAATTTGCCCGAGCGTGTTCAGTGAGTAGCGAGGCAGCGCCGCAAGCGGCAGCGTGAGGCGTCTTCGGCATCCGATACAAAGCGGTTCCTCAGCAAGAAAGCAGATCCAGAGTAATCAGTGATGTGGTGGCACAACAATTGTTGTGAGAGTTTGCTGAAAGCATGCAGCCGACCTGCGTCAAGGAATGCAGAAGCAGGACCTTTGGCTGCAACATGTCGGGCAGTGCAGCTGGAATTTTCGCCTCATCTACATCGTCCGTAGTCGAGGCAAAAAGACAGAGGGCAAGAAAGTGAAGAAGGTGAAGGCCACCCTGTTGTCTTCTTGCTTGGAGGTCCAATCGAGCTTCTTGTACTTGGGCCGGAAGGACAAAGCTAAAGAGAAGCCGGACAAGGCAGAAAAAGCCGAGAAACCGGAAAAGCCTGACAAAGCTCCAAAGGCTGGCAAAAGCAAAGCTGAGAAGGCCGACGGTGAGAAGGCCCCAGCCCGGCCAAACATGCCATGTAGGTGTAACTGGTTTGGCCTGAAACATGGCACGTCCTGCACAGGCGGACAAAGCCAAGGCAGAAAAGCCTGACAAGGCCTCCTTGGCATAACGTGGAGCTTGTCGCAGTTTCTGGTATTGTCTTACTGCGGTTTTGCGGATCTGACCGCGATGCTCGACGGGTTCAATTTTGCGATGGTGTTCGCTGTTCTAACAGGCGGCGGGCAAAGCTGGTAAGGGAGACAAGGCAGTCCGCTTCATGTGTCGGCCACAAGTCAGCGAAGCCTTCGCAGAGCAACTTCCGTGCTTTTGCGACAGGGTCGGGCATCAGAGCGCATCTGCGAGGCAGAAAAGCCGAAGAAGTCGAAAGAGGAGAAGGACAAAGGAGCCGGCATGAGATTCAAGGGTCGGTTGCAGGTCTGTGCAAAAACCCTGTCCTGAAAAGGAGCTGCAGCTGGAGCTGAGGACGGAGGGAAGAAGACGAAAAGCAAAAAGAAGGACCAGACATTGCCGCGCTGTCCTCCCCTGTAGGGCTTTGGGAGGATGAAGTAGGTGTATAGCGTCTGACAGCTGCAGGATGCTGCCGCAAAAGCAGATGCAAAGAAAAAGCCCGCCAAGGATTCTCCTGCCATCTGAACTTTGAATGGCCTCTTGTGCCTGTCGCGGGCAGGCAAAGAAGGAGAAGCAGGGTTCCGACTCCGACAGTTCCGACGACAGCTCTTACTCGTACTACTCTTCGAGTGCCTCAGCAGCTTTAGTGAAGCAACGTGATCGGATTTGTCACTGTTTTCTTGAGCCAGCAGTGACTGAACAAGGCAGCCAGGGCGACGAGCAGCAGCAGCAGCAGTTCATGAAGCTTGGTACTGTTTTGATGAGCAGGCTGTCAGCAGCCGTGGCAGCAGGTTTGAGGCCCCTTGCGAAGGTAGACTTGACGGCTTCTTCGTCATGGGGTTTTAACGTATCTGCCGCTGAGCGCTCCCTAACCGAACTCGATGGCCAAGATCGGAGCTTATTGAAAGCTCTGCCTAGGTTTTCCTGCCTCCCGCACTTTCAAGTACTGAGCTACTACAGTCTGGTATCTCCATTGCTCTCACTCCCATTTCATTCGTGCACGCTCTAAGTCGATGCGCCTGTTTTGTCCTGCTGCTCAGGAACGCCATGATGCCCTGGGCGATGATGCAGGTTTGTGGGTTCGATTCTCATGTCATGTCACGACGACCATCAGACAACCGTGCGAGATCAGTTTATTCAGCGTTATCAGTGGCAACGAGTGCTGATAGACTTGGCAGTCAAGACTTTTAGGATCGAGAGGAAGCAAAACCATATTTTGTCGAGCAAGCTGTGGACCATGTAGAATCACTTTCTACATCGGTGCTCAAACACCAAGGCGCTGTTGACACGCAGGAACGGCAGCAGAACATCGCAGACTTGCAGCACAACAGCTTTCGTCACACTTGGAGATCGGGAATGAACAACAACAAGTGATAAGGCGGATCCACCATCCACTCGGAAACCTGTACCAAGTGAGTTGTAAGATCATGACATTCTCAAGGCACGGACAGCCTCCGCAGCTCTTGCACGAGGGCCTTCGCTCACGCCTTGTGCTGTGAAGCTGTTGTTGCGCGCACACACCCACACACACACACACTCACACACCCCGTCTGCATTGGGTCCGTCCTGTTGCCATCACTCTGTGGCTTCGCATCGTACCACCCCGCCTCCCCAGATCCCTTTCTTCTGTCCTGTCCTGTCCTGGCCTGTCCGAGTTCAGAGGCGAAAAGAAGCGTGCATCAAGTGACAATTGCGATCTTGTGTCAGCATGCAAGGCACAAGCCTGGAAATTGTTGCGTGCCCAATTACGTTGCCGTGTAAGTTTGAAGTACGTTACATGATCGCAGTTTACTTCTGTGATCAAAAAGCACCTCTTGACAGTTTCGAAATTTTAAGTTGGGATGAACCTGGGAGAGCTTCGGCCAGATGCCAGTGGCATGTCGCTGTCGAGCAGCGTCATACCGCAAGCGCAGAGATTTTGTTGACTCCCAGCGCGCTGTGCACTATGTGCCGGGGCGGGGGAGAGACTAGTCGAATAGCCCGTAGGTCGTTTGCTAGAAGTAGATCTGCAGCTATCAGCCCCATCTGGCAGTCTGAGACTTTACCATCGCCTACCGGCGCCGATATAATTCTCTAGCACCGACCTTGCATGGGTTAAGCCTGTATCAGTCCAGGGCGTTTATTGTCTATAGAGCCTTGCTTGGGGCGCTGCAGCTTTCCTCACTTGTATTTGTTCTGTCGTTTGTGAGCATGCTGCATGGCCCATTTCGGGCATCTTGAGGCTGGAGCCATAGTACGGTTGGTCTGACAGGCGGCGCCCATTTCTTTCATAGTGACATGGAGAACGAAGCATGACGAGAACAGAGGACGATGACTGCACAGAAGCACGAGAATCTACGGTCAATGATGGTCAGAGGGATGTGGTGCTACCTCAATGGCATGAAGACAATGTAATATGGTACAGCAAGTCTCGGGTCGCCTAGACTTACGATCCCGAGGCCCTAAAAGTAACTGACACAGCTGACAACGAAACAACCGGCATCAACCACCGTTTCACCCAAGGCAGCATTGAATAGCCTGCCTTTGCACTTCACGCTTCGATCGCATAGGTTCGGCATGCTGTCACGACTCGCATAACTCGGCAAACCTGGGGTAAATGCAGATTTAAGAACATGGACGCATTGTTGACAGCTGTTGAGAACGACTTGAGCCAACGATCGTTCGGGTGAAACTACATGCATGCATGCAACCTGATCTTGGGCGGAAAGCGGCAAAGCAACACTGCTGTGAATACGAACCGTGCAAAAACCTAAACCCATCTCTCCTGGCTGCCACGATGCAGTCCCCTCTCCGTGACTTGGCGCAGTGCAGGGTGCAATGCCGACGGCTGCCATGGGCACCTCAGGGCAGCTGGGCATGGCTGGATATGCGCAGTACGCCGCAGGCAGGCGTTGAGACCCCGGTGCATGTCCTCCGCCCTTCTGAGCATCGTGTTGCAAGCCAGTTGCAGATCTTTACAGGCCAGTATCCAGGATACGGTGCATCTTACGGATACACGGATCCGTATGGAAGGCCGGGCTGACTGCAGGATGACGATGAACAGCCAGTTCGCAGTTGTTCAGACTGATGTAAGGAAAGAGCGCTAGCAGGTCTGGGTGTGCATGGTCCGCTTGTGAGGCCATATGGTGCTAGCATGGGCGAGCAGGTGCCAGCAGGTGCAATTCGTTAATGATCAGTTGATAGGCCGATGCAGTGTCTGGCTGAGTCCCGCGTGTTTAGACTGACAAAAACGTCAGCACAATTTCAAGAAAGGCTGCTCACACAGAGGCTTTGAATGCTGGGTTCCTGACAAGGCTACCAGGCACCGCCGCCGCCTCCTCCGCCAGGTGTTCCAGGAGGAGCCGTCAGCCTCTGAGATTTCAGATTCCAGACAGCCAGGCTTTCTTATACGGTTGCTAGGGAAGGCCGCATGGCTTCGTTTGCATGCGCTCGTCGTTCAGCAGCACTGGCCTGTTCGCCCACATCACATCAGTAGGTGTCCTCCGTGCCTTACCTAAGTAAGTGCTGAAGTGTGCTGCAAGATTCCATTCGACTTTTGAGGTTGGCGGGGCCTCGTACATGTGCCCTGGCCGCAGCACAGAGGATGGTACACGGCGACGCATGCCCAAAGTCAGTGCAAGTCTTTTGCTCCCTCACACTCTCTCGTGCTCGCTCTCCGTGCCTTTATTACTTGCGTGTGTGTGTGTGTGTCTGTGTGTCTGTGTGCGTGTGTGTGTGTGTGTGCTTTTATGTGGCTTCTTCTTTTCTGAAAGGCCTTTGTCTTGCATAGACGGCAGCGGAATATTCATTTCCTCTGCAGCCAGCTCGAGCTACTGTCCCAAAAGTGCAGGCATGGTCCAATGACCGAGCACGACAGACTCGCGGATGAGCGCGACAAAGCACAATGCCTTAGTTGTGGACACTTCGATTCAGCCACGTCCTAGAACGAAGAAGAGTTTCGGCATCAGCCGAAGATCCTGCGGAGCTGTGTTGAGTTCAGAACATGCCAAAGACCTCGGACGATGCGTGCAAATGTTCACTCCAAGGCTCGTAGACGTTTAGAAGATGAAGCGCGGCTTCGAAACGAAGAACTTCATCGAAAAGCTGAAACTGAACCTGGGCCGACTTATGTGGGTCTTCCCTTGTGTACGGCCATCGTGCAGCAGATGGAGTCGCTGGGTATGGGCAAGGCTGGTACCGAGAGTCTGCAGACTCGCCGACTCGCTCCGCATGTCTAAGGAACGAGCCACAGCTGCCGTCCGGCATGCCATCAACAACCTTCAAAACGGACAGCTGCTAGACTGAAGCATCTCTTGCCGTCCATGTGTGCTGATGGGCAATCCTTCCGCGAGATGCTCGTGCGAGTGATGAGGTTCGACTCGATTGATGGGCTTCTGAAGGCACAGTCAGGGTTGCCGGTCGGCCTTGACGCCCCCGAGAACCCGATAATGAAGTGTCAGAGACGGTGAGAGTCATTCGGGCATGTTTCAGCGGAGCAGGAGCTGCACGGTGCTTGTTTTCGTCTGCTCAGACCTTGGAGTCCGTGGCGGCGAGGGACCTGTCGAAGACCGAAGGTCTGCAGGAGATCCTGAAGAAGGACATGGACAAGGCTTCCTTGAGTGCCCTTGCCATGGCTGCATTCGTGGCTGTTGTGTTCTGTCGGAAGGCCATCGAGGAAGCTCAGCAAAGGCGAGCAGTGATGGCCGAATTGAAGTCCATGGTCAGGACCCGGGGATGAACCCACGGGCGTGCCGAGCCGATGTGACTTCATAAACATTCAGTTGTGATTGTAAAGGCTCGAGGCCTTGTTGCACGAGTAGCCTGTTGCAGGAGTGGTGAGGACCACATCAAGGCCTACCGGGACAGAACGGTCCATATGAAGCAGACAGCGAAGTACACTGTGTTTGGGTTCTGTTTGAAGGCCACAGCCGAGCTGATTCGCGAGAATGTGGGGCTGCAGAAGGAGCTTCAGTCTTGAACTAGCTGCAAGGATTCCCGAGATCCTTGTCTTGTGTAGATGTCATCTCGTGCAAATGTACGCGCGACCATCGGAGCAGCTGATGATGCATCTCGGACCCCTCTTGAGCTCCAGCCTCTGATGCCAGACAAAGATGACGAGGGTGAGGACCGAACTCGTAATGGAAACATCGGCATACACGCGGCCAGACACCTGTGGATGATTTGATCAACACCACACTTACGGAGCCGACTAAACCTGTACATGCACTCGCATCAGCAAGGTGTAGCCCAACCTTCTCGCTCGTTTATCTTTATCGCTGTTGTATCATCACCTATACGACGCAAGCAATGGAGAGCTGTGTCATTGCTTTTGGGGAAAGTCGGTAGTTGTACATCCAAAATTCGTTTAGCCACTTGAGAGGAAAACGACAGGGAAGACATGAATGACCAGCTCGAAAATGCCGGCCTGGAGGTGAGGGTGAGGGTATGCCACGATACCCGAGATGCCCGGAACACAGCAGAGCTCTTACCCAACTCCAGGCCCAAGGCATGAGCGACCGGTACCAGTCGTTCATGGACGAGAAGGCGAAGGAGCACGAGGAGCACCGCAGAGTGCCCCCCGAATGCCCCGAAGAGCAGAGCCCACTGGGCCAGGTCCAGGTCGGTGCGTTTCCGGTCTCCGCTGCCAGGAGCTCCAGAGCTTCACCAAGGGCCCTGCCTTAGTTGATCTGCGCCTCGTCATCGCGAAGATCAAGAAGCTGAGTAGCCCCTTGGCGAAATCTATGATCATGAATCAAGCCCAGCAACGGAGCCTCAATGGCAATGCGCACCAGGCGACTTGACAATGACAGCCACGAATGCCGTGGCGAGCTCAGCCCGCCTGCGTTTGCTTACCCAGTGCTGTGAAGCCCGTCCTCTGAGGCCAGCGTCGTGCGGGAGGGCAAGCAGAAGCTGGCACGTCAGGAGGCGGCCGTAGCGCGAACCAAGCGCATGCAGGACGGACGGGACCCCTGCGGCTGAAGGCTCGCCCGGCACTCGCCTTAGGCCTTGCTGTTTGTGACAGGAGCTCTTCGACCAGTACGATGCCGACAGCGACGGCTGTTTGTCTCAGCTGGAGGTCCTCCAGTACTCCCAAGGCATCGTTTCGCATTGTCGTGCCACAAGGGCTACTCTTCCCCGGCTCTTGCAGCTGCAGCGAAAGAGATCAGTCGTCCTTGTGCAGGTGAGTTTGAATTCACCCCTGCAGAGTCCTGTCTAGTGACTTAGCTGAAGTCAGGAAGGACTGATCAGAAGCTGTGCCAGCACCTCTGTGCGGCTCAGGAGCGGCTCTGGCGAAACTGGGTGCCAGCAGGCCTTTCCTCAAAATACTTCCAGAGTGCTTGTTCTTGAAATTCAGCCAGGCATGGCTGGCATCACTTTCGACCGCTTCCAGCAAATGAAGGTGGCGATCGGCACGGCCCGTGTCATTGAGCGGGACCAGGATCCAAGAATGCCTTGTGCGTGGTTCTCGTATCGGTACTCGCAGTTTCTACCCGTGCCACTGGTGCGACAGGAGAGAAGACCAGCTGGCGTTGCTTAGGAGGCTCCCTGCAGAGCGCGTGGCAGTCTGTTTCGCTCGAGCTTCGAGTCCCAGGCCTCGGCGCCTCTGACGGCTGACGCGCTGGAGTTAATGCTTAGGGATGCTTTAGGGCTGTCAGGGGCAGGAAGTTCACAGTCGCAGTCGTCTAGGTCTCAGGTAGAACGTGAGGCAATCGAGGAAGGTCAGGCCTCGAAGACGGAGCTGCCACAGCAGAGCTCTTGAAGAGTGCAGATAGGACTCACACGTGCACAGTGATTGCAAATTGCAGAACAAGCTGCGCCGCACCAACTTTGTATGAGTCGCCATTGCGATTTTCAGAAGCCCATTGTCGTTCTGACTTATGCCTCTGTGTCGGCGAGCTAGCGGAGCTTGGATTTCCATGTCACCGTCATTTCTCGTCACGGCTACCACCATCCCAGCGGGAAAACGAGAGCAGCACTCTCCACATGATGTGGCATGCGTACTGCCTGAGAATTGCGCCAGGGTGTCATACTTTAAAATAGATTCGGGACCCATCGCATGCATGGCTCGGCCGGTGCAGGTTTGGGCTCAAGGCAGCAAGAAGCCATCCAAACAGCGTCCGATACTAGTGGCACAGCTACCGAGTTGCATGTTTCGCAAGGGCTTTTCCAAGTGCAGATCAGCATTCCATCTGCCAGGACGGATGGTTTGCGACGCTGGGATGAACGTCGACATTGCAGTGGCATTGTTTGAAAAGGGCTATACGGAGGCACGGCAAGGAGCGCTTTCAGTCAATCAGTCTCGAGCTTCGAGGGGTCCAAGACCTTTTGCAAATGAGCATGCAGCGCAATGTTCCTTCTGCGCAAAGGCCAGTGTGCAAGAGGCGATAAAGTCCTGTTCGACTCTCGAGGAGGAGCGGGGCCTAGCGGTTCACATCGTTTGTAAGTGCGATGCTGAGTGTCGTCACGACAACCTGGATTCGCAGTAGCAGATTGCAGGCCATGTCGTTCCTGAACCCGAAGCACAAGCAGACCAAGGTGCCATCTGATATCTGCCTTGTGCAGCTCTGCAAGCAGAGCTTTCCCTCGGCAATGTCTTATTCCAGTGCACCCTTTCCTCTGCCGAGCGATCGATAGAGCAGTTTGTCGACCGCTGCGGGAATCCTAAGCTCCTGGCCCCCTGGCAGAGCCACCATCGTCAAGCCTTCTTAACCCGTGTCCCAGTCGGAATGCTTCAGTAGGAACATCGGCTTAGAGTTAGCAGTCAGGTGCACGACTCGACTGTCCAGGGGGCCGGTGACAGGCTGCGGAAGGGATTGCTCAAAGTCTTGCCTCGCCTGGCGAAGACATGCAGAGTGAGGTCGCCGTCTCTTTCTCTCGGCTTAGTCTGTCGTAGTGTATGACCACTCCACAACAGCACTGGGAAAACTACTCTTGGCGCCTTGGCCCACGGCCCACTGCCCGAGGCCACGTCGGCGTGCGACAGGGAAGAAGGCTCAGACCGCTTGGCACTCGGTGTGCTGGCCTTGCCTCCGGAGCACTTGCGGAGCAGTTCTGAATCCAGGGAAGTGTGGCCGGAGCTCCCTGTACTGGTCCCAACGAGACACCTGCGGCAGAGCAGGCCCTGCGCAGTGCATGAGTGGATGTCGAGACTGGAACCCGGGCTACAGGCTACAGCCTTCTTACAGTTCCCAGATCAAGGGCATTTAGAATGACTGTACTGTGATACTCTTCAGAAAACCGCGATCCACACAGGACACTGTCCTGTCGGGCTGCTGCGTTTCAAGCCATGACATGGACGCACTTGGACTTTGCAGGAAGTCCCTGCGCAGGTGCCGCTGACTGTGGGCAACTCCACGCTCCTGCAACGTGTCCTGGAGCGGCAGCCGAAATCCAAAACTTGTGAGGACCAGCCCGTCGACGTCGCACATCACTTACAAATAGCCAAAAATCAGATCTGCGATTGCCACGACGTCCAGCACACTCCGTGTGGCACTTTTGCCTTGGATGCAGGAGTTAAGTGCATCTGCCGCGCTCAGGCCTCAGATTCGAGGAGTGAGGGCCAGGGCTGCGTGAGAGGATGTGCATGGATGTGCTGCAGAAGGTCACAGGTCACAGGATCCAAGTACAGTCCCAGCTGCGGCCCTGAGGCCCACACCGTCTGAAACAGTTTCCTCGGGTACAGCTCTCGATTTGAGACGTTTGAGACACTTTCGCTGGTGCTCGTGCTGTCCTGACGAAGGTGACAGTGTGGCTGCCCCAACACCTGTGGAGCCAGAGAAGCCGTGCACTCAGGGGCGCGACGGTCAGTGGACAAAATGCGGCAGCGTCTGGCCCGCAGGCGAAGTGTGGAAGCCGCGGAGGCCATGGAGGCTGTGGAGGCTTCCATGGAAGCCGAGGACGCTCCGTCGGCAGAGTCACGAGTCACAAGCCATGGCCCTGAGCTTTGCACTTCTCCGTGTACGCGTGTGCGGAAGGAAGCGGAGGCGCCTCCGCCTCCTCCTTCGCCAGTGCGCTCCATTGAGCCCAACGAGCATGGCATGAAGTGGTGGCGAGAGGCATCAAGCTTGCCGCAGCATGCCGAGCTAAGAGTGGCATCGGACTTCATATGGGACGAAAGGGTATATCATGTTGGCCAGCTCCTCGCAGTGTGCCCGGGGGGGGTGGAGGAGTGCAGTGAAAGCGTGTTCCGCTCGCTGCTCAACTGTTTGCTTCTGGGTCTCCGACCGAAACGACTTCATTGGGTAGGCAGCCGCTCGATGGCCCAAGATCTACCAGAACTTGAGGCTGGCACCGAGACTTCGAAATTCTGAGCTTTGAAACCTCGAAGCCAGGTTGGAAGCTTCTCTCAGCATCCTTCGGCCGTCAGCTCAGTGAACTTTGCGTCGGTCTCCAAGCTGCGTGCCACGAGCTGCAGGCCCGAATGCCGGGCGGTCACCGACTACCTGGGCTCAGTGCACTTTGGGGAGTGGGGCACTTCGGGTAGTCGAAGCCTTTGGAGGCTTCCGGAGCGCTTCTCGCGAAAGCCAAGGTCGGCCACCACGACGCCAGTGCGGAAGCGCACGATGGAGGAGCAGGTGAAGCGAGAGTTTAGGGTTTAGGGGAGCTGTGTGATGCTTTGCTTTGCCGTTTGCAAGTTGAATATGGGGTCGGTTGCTGCTACTACTGTGCCCTCCCTCCATTCTACTTGCCAAGTGCAACTTGTTTCTGCCTCAGCTGGTGCAAACGGTGCATGTGAGATTCAGCGGATTTCTATGGGATCTTCATGGCTCGAGATTAAACACACGGAAGCACCTAATTGCTTGTTTCTTTCATGCAGCCAGCGTCGCGCTCTAGTTTCTGTGTGGGTGTTCTAATGGTTCACACTCTGTACCATAGTCAGCTTCCTTCGCTGCAGTGGCCATTACGAGAATTGCATTCGTCGTTGAGTCATCCACCCTGTCCTTCGGACATCTCGTGGCTCATCGTTCTCGGTATTGTCTGCATGGGCTTGCTCCACCATCAGAACGGGAGGACTACTTCCTTGGGTCTAGCAGCACGTTCTAACAGCTTTCATGAGCACTCGAGACTGTTGATCAGCAGAGGCAGAGGGAGCATGCCCTGCTTGAAATTGCTGCAAGGCAAGCACCAACGGAAAGAAGAAGCGGCAGGATGCTCCGAGCTGCTCGTGTCCACTGCCAGGTTGCTGTGCCTGAGAAACCGCTCTGCAATTTGGGCTCGTTGCCATGTCATTCGGCATCCGCACTACAAGTACCATCAGTGCCGTCTCGAAGGCCCCCCAACCTCCCTCGCAAGGTTTGCAAAGCAGCCCTGGTCCTGGCACGTTATAGTGGCAGCCAGTGGCAACTGTAGCCGTTATCACGCTGCAAGAGTTCTCATTTCTCTTGGAGTTCCATCATGGCCGGCTCTTCGTCGGGAGTTGAGCAGCTCCCGGTGATGGAAGAACCGGTGCTGAAGAGGAAGAGCGGCTTGTTTCCGCCGCCAGAGTCAGGAAGCTGATGGTGTCTTTCGTGCAACGTGAAGCTTGCAAGAGCTTGAACTTTCTCGCGGCTAGGATTGCTGCACGTGGACTCCGATGACGAACCGGACTCAGATGGGGGTGGCTACCAGGAAGGGCAACCACCCGAGCCATCTCCGGCCCAGCTTGCGAGTGTTCACCTCAGAGACACTGTTGCGCGGTTTCTGCAAACATCTGTCGACATCTGTGGAATGCCCTGTGCAAAGTGCTCAGGTGATGCTGATGACGGCGTTGTTTGGCACGCCAAGGTGAGCTAGGGTCACAGTGTCCCAACCGACCTCTTTCGCCACAGAATTCTGGAACCTCAGGATGTGCTCGGGGCCGGTTCTGATGCGATGGCTCCAGAGTTCGCATCCAGGTCTTTACGGACGACTACATCCACCCGAGGGACTGTTTGCCGTCGGGTGAAGTGAAGCCGCGGCGGCCGATGCCCGTCATCAGACAATCAGAGCTCTTGTCCCAGCTGCAGAAAGTTGGGGACACATGGATTCTGCCAGGCCGGACCCGAAAGGGAAGGAGGGACCAAGGTTGAAAGTTGAAGCTCCCTTTCAGGTCCGCTGAATGGCTGGCCTAGCCTGGTCAACCTGCAGCTTCGATCTATCACTCAAAAGCAGCGAGGTCCGCTCCCCAAGAGGGGTTTGGGGTGGAGGTGCAAAAGCCAGCCCACGAAGAATGCAGGAGGAAAGCATGAGACAGTGCTACAATGTTGAATGCTGAGTGCAAGCTTCAGGTTCTTGCACACGCACGGCGGGACCTAGTCATCCTAGTCCCTGATGTATTCAGGCCTACTGCCAATGACGGCGGCTGTGAAGCGCATCTGGGTTGAGGGTGACGAGCTTCCAAAGAAACTGCCGGAGAGATGTCGTGCAACATTCCTGGCACCCTCCTGGATGAAGAAGGCGACGCACCTAGCACTCCCCCTCACCCCAGTTTTGGAGTCTTGCACGTGCTTTGACTCAGGGCTGGTCCAAAGATTCGGCCGGCTTTGTGTGGTGGTTCACACCGCGAAGCATCCGCAGCCCCTGTGCCTGCCACTTTGGAGAGCGATTGGTGTCCACACTTCTCACGGGACCCCACAAGGATGCAGAGGCTGTCCAGGTGCATGCGATTGCACATCGCTACCCGGTGGACAGTGAGACGCTGCGGGACCTTCAGACATGGCATGTGGCGGCGACGAGCTGGAACAAGCAAAAACTTTCGCTTAGTCGCTGGCTTTAGATACACTGCAACACTCTGTGACACTGTGTGTTCTTTGACTTTGAGCTTGAGGTCGCGTTGGAATGGTCCCATGGACAGTTTTCAACCCTGGTAGAGTTAGCATGGCTCAACGGCATCGGTGGCTACGGCGCTTGTTTTGCCAAAGCGCCGGAGTTGCTCTGCGGAACGGTACAGCAACAGGGCTGGAGTGTAGGGTGTACGGCTTGCCCTGCAAGGTGGAAAGAGCAACTGGGTTGCCGACAAGCTTGAGCCAGTGCCTGAAATCTACGAAGCAATGGCAAGCTCTATGCGAGGAAGCTGGAACCAGGTAAGATCTGAGATCCGCATGATCGACATGCCAATCACGTCGAAAGAGCAGCTAGAGCAGTATCTTCGGAGGCACACACCCGGTGTTCAAGATGATGTAAGGTAGCCCAGCAGTACTCTGGGATACTCTGGGGTGCGGCCGTGTCAGTTCGTGGTCGCAGGTACAGTGAGGACGGTGGCTTGCCTCGAAACGAGTGGCGCTTCAAAGCGCCCCGAATATATGCATCTTCTGAGGCGCGCAAACAAGCAAAACCCACTCCTGCTGCGAAATCTGCAAGCGTTGATCTCTTGTGACCTGTTTCTTCACGCCGCCGGAAGGTGCGTCTGAGACTTCGCAGTCCCGCACACATTGCCGGCTACCTGCTGAACTACATCAGCAGAGTTGCCGAGTACGACACACTGCGCAAGAATTGCCAGACATTTGCCACAGACTTCTTTGCGTTCCTGATGCGCAGCCGCACGAGTTGGGCCTGGGATTGTGTTGTTTGCCAGTGACGGAGGCATCGATGTGTCGTAGCCCTGTGCGCATTGGTTTAGTCTTGGAGCTGCTCTGAAGCAGCAGAACAATATGTGCAGTGCACCAAGGACCGGCCAGAAGGACCGGACACACTGCCACGATCTGCAGGCATAGCTAGACTAACTAGAGTCCTAGAGGGCCTGTCATGCGGCCGTAGCTGCCATCTCTTCTTGACATCAACAAGTACGTGTTCACAGGCCAGGCTCGCTAGATGTGTCGTTCAGCCCACGCCAACGAAGTCTCAAAAGTTGGCCCATGACGGTTACCGAGTGGTCTGGAAGCCTAAACACAGGCGTTCGTGAAGAGTTTCGGGTGGGCGATGGCGAGGCTGTGAGTTCGTGCTGGTCCGTGGCAAGTCCGCGCTCGCTCCTGTGTGCAGTGTGAGTTGGTTTGACGGCGTTATGTCCTTGCTAGATATGTCCGTAGTTTGCAGTGCAGTCATGTGTACTTCATGACGTAATGTATCCTAATGTTGCCTTGAGCTCAGACAGTCACTGGGTAGGTGATTGACTTGACGAACTCCATGGAAGCAGGGATTCCTGCTTTGCTTGGGCAGCGATCTCGAACAATCATACGATCTCGCCGCTGGCTACTGTCGTGCGTTAACGGCGTGCAGTGCCTGTGAATCCGAAATTCAAAGGCTTCCAAGCAGAGCTTCGGTGCCGAATAGGGGAGAAGGACTCGGCGAGATGCCACTCACATGGGGTTCAGCTCTGTTGCAGGATATCCAGCCGTTCACCAACATCGTGGTGCCACTGTACTCCCAAAGAACACATGCCTTCCTTTACGCTCCCAGAGGGTCCTGAGCTCGAAACCCATGCGGAGAAAAGACGCCGAGTGCACACAAGGGGCGATCCTGACCTGACCACATGTCTTTAACGACCAGAGGCGTAGATCTAGGTTGCGTCCCTTGCTGTCTGTCTACCTAACATGTCATGTCGAGGAGGGAGCATCTGCGATGGGCGTGGTGCCCACTCCCTCCAGATCTTCTGCCATCCTGCCAGATTGTTGAAACATCACGACCATTGATTCGGTTGTCTGGACGGAGCTATGCTTCAACTGTGTGTCTCCCGGATTCTACAACCTTGGCAGATAACTGCTCTTCTTCTGAATGCCGCGGGATTGACCTGATGCTAGTACTGGCGAGTTTTCGGACCCATGACTCCTAAAACTATAACGTGTCTGTGCCAGAACGATGGCTGCCGCAGTCCGCTTGGAACTGAGGGGGTGCACGTGTCTGCGGGCCTTTGTCAATGAATGGGTGGTGGGTGGAGTCCTTGCAGGCAAGCCATGCGCTTGAATTCCAACGCGGATGTGTGCAAGGCAGGTCATGCACCACATGCATCTTCAGAATAGGTTCGCTGGTGCCGCATTGCAATTCAAAGTGCAACTCCACAGAGCGGTCTGCGATGGATTGTGTGTTGATTCTGACCGCAGAGAGTCTGAGACAACTCTGCAGTGTGCCTCAAGAGCAAGTTGGCGGCCGAGCAGCGTACAAGTAGCAGCATCAAAAGGAAGCGAGAAAATGTCAAGGCCTACCCTCTTCCATCTGCGGGTCTGCACATGTACGGCGTGACTTTATGCCGACCGTTGCATTAGCATTTTCAGCTTTCCTCCCGCACTGCCCTCTGAAATTGTGAGCCGCCGACCACCAACCAAGGGTGTGCCTCCACACGGTGGACTCGCCCCTAAACCCTGGGAAAGCAAGAAACTGATCCGCCAGCGCAGTTGCTTGTGCGGTGTCGCCTCCATGCATCACAAGACACAGAAATCTTTCATGTAGAACCTAAGCTACAACCCAAGCGTCGCTCCTTCGAAGTGACAACACAAGAGAACCAAGAGAACCATCAGACCATCTATCGGCTGGCGTCCATGTCCGTGAAACAATGAAGCGCTCACATCTTGAAGACATATGGATCCTCCAGGGAGCCATTCATGAAGTGGTCATTCCGTGCTCCATGCATCAACCTTGCTCTGTTCTGCTCATTGTTTGTATTTGTCTTGTCTTACGTATCGAACCATACCGGTCGGGCACAAGCTCTTGGCAGTCCGGCTGTTGCCGCTTTCCACGCTGAGCTGTGTTTGTCGTCTGAGAACAGAGAACAGCAAACACCCTTATGCCAGGACTTTGGTGTTTAGTTTCGTCGGATTTTGTGCTTCTCTGTGGGACCCGTTTCGTGTCTCCGAAGCAAATCGAACTAGCGAGCCGAACAGCACCAAACAACAGCACCCAAAGCACAGCTGCTATCACCTGCTCCCAAAGATGGAGAACATTTCCGGGAACGGTCGTGCCCGTGTTGTCATGTTGTTTTCGTGATTGTAGCATGCCGCCTAGAGGCTGTGCCGCATGTTTTCTAGGTGCAGTCGTCGTAGTGCTACTAGCATGAGAACTTGCGTGCAACAGGCTCTTGTGCATGTTGCAAGTTTCTCTTGAAGTGCCTTGGCGAGATCTGCTGCTGCGACACTTCGCCGTGGCGGTCCGTGCGTCTGGGCTGTGGTCACGGCTGGTACTGTGCTGGGATGCTCAGATGCTGGTCCGTGAGCAAGAGCAAGAGGCCACCAACATGTCACCCTCCACTAAAAACCGAGGCATCCTGTATGCTGCGGCACGCCGAGGCTGGACTTGCTTTCTCTGTAAGCAGTTCTCGGCATCCGACGAATGCAGGCCCGTTTGGAAATGGGTGCGGCTTCCATCACATGCTGGCTTCCCATGGGGCGCTAGTCGACCCTGTCTCTTCAAGCTGCAGCCTAGCCGCGCGGAGGTCCCGAGTGCTCCTCGGTCCTCGCTGAACGAGATCTGAGGAGCTGGGTCTTCGTGCCGACGCAGAGATGCATCAGCAGTCAGCTGCTGCTCCGCGCCAGGAAGCTCCTCCCCACCGAAACGATCGATCGGCTCCTGGCGCGCCGGCCCAGTGGTCAGAACATGAAATCCCAGCTTCCTGGTCCTTGCTAGACTATTGCTAGACTCATTCACAGTCTCGTGTCATCTTCGAAGCCCCACTACCCGTCCCGATAAGCTAAGGGGACCATACAGAAGCGATTGTCTACTTCGTTTTGGCGACTATGACTCCTCAGGCACGGAGCCTGGAGCAGGCCGTGTCGTCTTCAGCGAACATCCGTGCCTGCCCAACGCCGCCGGCAGCTGAGTGGAGCAGAGAATTAGCTTTTCCCATTCCTACATCGAGCGACGAGGAATTGCGTTATGCGGGTCGCCATCGAAGAGGGCGACATCACAAAGCGGGAACGGCATGTGAATGGATGCAGTTTCAAGGCATGCGTGCAATTTGCTCGCATGAAGCGTCAGGTTCAAGTGTACAATCTGCAAGAAGGAGTCATGTGACTTTGGCTGTAAGTTACGGTGCCGGTGCTGTGACTTTTTTGTGCACTAGCTGCGCCTCTCTCATGTCCCAATGTCACACGTCACCAGATCTTTCATTTCAGGCCTTCGCTGTGGACGACAGCCGTTCCACAGAGGGATGACATGCGAGGATGCTAGCCGAGCGTGCCAGCGTCGCCGCTTTGCAATGGAACGATGTGAGGAGTACGCCGAAAAGCTGAAAAATTCCACGCGGGCTGCAAAGAAGGAGCGTCAGGCCTTTGATCTACACAGTGCATTGGGAGGAGAAAGCTGAGTCTGTGAGGCTGACCAGCTCTTCGAGCAGTGGATGGAAAAGACGGGCTCAAAGCAGTGCCCGACATGCCGCATGGCCGCCTTCCTGGCGCTTTTGTCTCGAATCTGCAATTGCTCGATCTCGCTCGCATAGCAAGCTTCACGGATCAGCCTGGGGGCTTCGCTCCTGCCTTCGGGTTTCGAAGCAGCACAGACGTGACAAAGGTGTGTTGACTTGAAGTAAACGACTGCGTCTCCCATCAGAATCCTAGACTCGAAGCCATCTTTCCCCTCTTCAGTAGCTACCGTTTCTAAGCGCAACCTTGGCTTCCAGCCGAGTAGGTATCCCTCTTGGGCTTTTTGTCGAACAACCGTGAAGCTTGCTAATCGAGCCTTGCCAGCCCTTACTATATGAATCGAAGGGATCGAAACTGAACGCTCAGAGTCTGCATCCCTTCCCCAAGAGCAACTTCTTACTTGCATGGCTGTTGGCGAAGACAACAGCATAGAATAGATGGCAGCGGCAGCAGTAGTGGACATATCGGCTGCCCCTGCATCTTCCATGCAGAGAGATGCTTCCTGATCCTGGCCAGGTCACGAAGCAGAATCTTGACAAGCAGAAAACACAGTACTCCGAATGTCACAAGATGAGCAGTTCCCTCAGATTGATGTCGCAGACCTCCATAAGCAGATGAAATGAACAGGTAACTAGGGGAATTTGATGCAGCATCTTTTTGGGTGCTTGAAGCTCTTTGAGGCTGCCGGAACTGTGGAACTAAGTTCTGCTTCAAGCACGGCCCCAAGATGTGAGATGGAGTTCGGGCTTGGCTGCTCGCTTTCAAGGGTCTTTAACATCTGAGAGGTGTCTGGCGATTCTTACAGACAGCTATACGCCAGCCCCTGAGATCTAACATACAAATCGTGGAGGCCCTATCTGCGGCAAGTGACGTCGAGCAGATGCGTTGGACAGAATCTCTGTCTCCTAGGTGCGGATGCACTATTGATGCCCACGGCTTCATTGACCCAGTGACGGGCAAGATCGTCAAGCACCTGAAGAAGAGGCAGGGGCGGACCGTCGTGGATAGGACTAGGAACAACCCTGGATCGTCGGAGATGTATTTGACTTTGGATGCTTGCTCGTATCGCCATTCCATGAGAATGATGCCAGGGCCAAGAAATGAATTCTGTGACGTCCTCAGATCTCAGAGGTATTAAACAGCTGGGGCGATGGATATCAACTTATCAAAAGCTGTCTGAAGCTCTCTGCAGGTGTACCAAGCAGAGCGGCCGAGATATACTGTTCTCATGGCCTCTGAAAAGAGCCACGTGAGATCGCTCAGTGCTGACCATAGTTATGGGCTCAAGCCCAGAGTGCAGATCAGAGGCAAAGAAACGTGTACCCGCATAGCTCACCGATCGTTGCATGGTCCCAAGTTGGGCTGTCACCAACACTTTGCCTCTCGTGTGGCACCTTTGTTCGTTTTTTGGATGCCGAACGGCTGACAGGGTGCTATTTGCGCAGAAGCAAGATGGTGGATACAAGAATGCCACAGCAGCCTCTGGTGGAACTGGCGGAGACAGCCTTCCTTCTATAAAGACCTAGCATTGATGGTCCTGCGCAGTGGCACAGACTACTGTCGAAGTGCTTTGCATGGAGTTGTGGTGTGCAACATGCGTGTGCACTTGTAAGTATAATTCGGTTCATGGCACAAGGTGCATCTTAATTCGCCCGTGAGAGGACAGAACTACTTTCTTCCACTGTGTGAACCAGTATTATCAGTACAGGGAGTAGTAGCAGTAGCCGGCATCTTCATCGGTGGTCTGGTGGTCGTGGTTGCAACAGTAGGTAGTGGTGGTGGTGGTGGTGGTGGTGGTGGTAGAAGTAGTAGCAGTCGTAGTTTACGTTCACCCCAGCATTTGCTGAGAAATGATGCCCATTGTTCTCTCGGCGGAGTTTGTGCAGATGGTTCGGCCACTGTGGGCGTGGCCTCGTTGCGACTGAAAACCGGTGCCATCAAGTCGAGCAGATTCAGATGACTGACACATGAGACCTGAGACTTTGTTCCACAAGAAAATCGCCTGTTTCCAATCTGCTCAACAAGGTTCCAGTGAGAAGTTCGCCAGAAAAGTCTGTTTTGGGCACATATGCTAATGCTAGGGATCATGCGAGCCGTGGGAACCTGGGCATGTGGGCCGGAATGCACATCAAGTTGCCGAGCAGGCAGTCGCTGAATCTTGGAGGCTTCTCAAGAAAAGCACTGTCCCACTGAAACGACACTGTGGCTCAAGCCCCTCTTTCCTGGCTCAACCTGCTGTTGCCATGGGCTCGGCCGCCAGCATTGACAAAGAGGGCCGTGATGCCTACAAGCGAAGCCTCTATGCTGCGGTAGCTGCGGCCCAAAAGGACAAGGACGAGAAGCCCAAGCCAGAGCTTGCCGAGACGGACGTGGCAGTGGCTGACAGACCGGCCGGCACTGTGGAGACGCATGTGGAAGGCAAGTATCTTGCTCACTCGTAAATCATCTGAGCTACCTACCCTTTGTCTTGACTTGGAGTCGTGCAGTTGTGGTGTCCATGAAGGAGCCTAAGCCCGAGCAGAGCCTGATGCAGTGAGAGCCAGGGCAACGAGCGAGATCTTGTCCTCCAGAGGCGCACTGTAACACGGAGCGCCCCGAAAGAACTGACTTGCAAGAACTTGGAAATTCATGGAAAATCGCTGACTGCATCCCCCGTTTCTCATACTTCGCTGCTGCCCCTAGGAATGCATCAGCAACCTTGAGTGTTGGTCAAAGCTTCGTACCAAAGCCAATCGTCAGCTGGTGATCAAAGCGGGCTGAGCGGTTGCTCGACCTTAGAGGTTCATAAGGTTCCACTTCATGTTGCATGTGGCAAAGCAAGCTTAGCTTACACGCTTGGAAGTTCAGTGATTAAGCTTGCTCGGAATCCCAATTTTTTTTGCAGTTCACAAGATATACAGCGACACAAGACAGAGAACGTGTGGACCGTGCACATCCGTGGGGCCATGTCGAACGAGGATCTTGATGGCCAGGAGCTGCTCGCAGCGCGGACGCAGCTTTTGGAGGAGCTGCAGGCGCCTCGCCGGGCCGAGGGGCGGCGCGGCGCCGGCGAAGCCGCGAGTCTTTCTCGGCTTCGCCTCTGCAGGTCGAGCGGCGCGAGCTGGGCGCGAAAGGGGAGCACCTCTTTAACGAAGCGAGGTTGAGCAGGCGCTTGGCTTGCGGCTTGCAGCCTCTTGCAGTTCCCGTTTCGGTCGTGTCTGAAGTGAGTGTCAGGTATATTCAGGGAAACAATGGCTCGGTGGAGGAGGCCACTGCACACTTCCGGAAAATGCTGTGCTGGTACAAGGAGGCTGGAAGTTGGCACGCTAGTCTCAATCCATGCAGAGACTAGCCGCCAAGTTGCCTGCCAGGCGAATATGCTTCAGAAGCGGACGCAAATCGAGAACAAACCATGGTGCGTAGATTCTGTGACGGGTGCTCGGGAGCTTTTTGATATGATGTGCATCAATGCGAGCAAGTTTACCAAAGATGGAAACATGCAGCCTGGCTACAAGCAGTCGGGGTTTACAGCGGCCTTGCCCGATCTTGTCGGATCTAGGTATTGTGGAGCCGAGGCTTTGGGTACAAAGAGATGGTTTTGCCCAAATTGAGAAAATCATGAGCCTCACTGATGAGGATCTCGTTGGTCGCATGAGCCTTCTCTGCCACCCGATCGAACAAGACCAGTGCATTCTGCAGCACATCGACAGGTGCCAAGCGCCAAGCTTAGGTGAACTGCGGGAGCATCACCTCGATCAGCTCAGCATGAAGAAAGGCAAGCTGATGAAGAGCTTCCAGGTTCGAGACCTGACAGGGCTAAACATCGGCGCGGTTCTCCGAAGCAGATTCGTGATGAAGCGCTTCTTGGCAGCAGTCATCCTGGCAAAATCCAGCTTCGTCGGTGCACTGACTGTAAATGGACACCATCGCTCTGGTGCGGTTCAGAGCAGCTAGAACTTCAGCGCTCAGGTCTTGCAGATGTGTTCAAGATTGTGAGCACAGCGTATCCAGAAACGTTGCACCAAATGGTTATAGTCAATCCACCCGCAGGCGGGCGAGGGAGGGAGCGCATGTGAAGAGGAAGCGCGCTGGCGTCTGCACCGGAACCACTCGATTAAGAGTTGCGAGGCTTCAACCTTTTTTGGACTGCGGTGCAGCCGATGCTCAATGATCGGATTCGGAAGAATCTCGGCTTCGTGCGCTAAGGGCTAACACGCCGCATACAAGAAGACTCTGAAGAAGAGGTCTTTTTCCCAGGTCGGAACCCGTAGCTTGGACACTTTCGATCCCGTCAGGAAGTTCCGATTCATCCCTTCAGGGCCAATGGACTTTCCTCTCGAGTTGGTCAAGATGGCTGGCGTTGGAGTGCTGGAGTCCCTGGCAAACCTGGCAGATGTGGTGCAGAAACGAGCCTTGCTGCTTTGACAACCCCAGCCCGGTTTGGGCTGCTCCCTCTTTCAGTGTTTTTGCAGACATGCTGCAGCTTCCCTCGTAGATCCATGAGCTGGTTGCCTCATGACAAAGGACATGAAAACAACTTGACCTTGGCTCCTGGCTTTGCCCACTACAAATGCCAGCGGCTTCCTGCTGGCAGCGTAGCCAGCTGGAGCTTCTCCGTCACGAAAAGCTCTCTCCATTTTCGGGCACCTCGCGTCTGAATTTGATCGTGGTATAGATTCGCAGGTGACTGTTGGTACTGTAGTGCAGCTCATGATGGAAGCATGTCAGGCGATTGTGATTGAAACGTCGGATGAAGATTCCCAGCACGGTGCTGCAGGCTTTTCTGCCGTCTTTTCGTACCAGTTACTACTGTACGAAGACGAGCATGAAGCTGCTTCATGTCCGCGGTTTTGCTGTTGTCCTATTCGCGTGTCTTCGGATCGTCAGGTCTGGCAATGCGAGATGTGTTTGAAGCCCAGCCGGTTTCAGGCGCCTTGCATGGTGTTGGATTGGCACGGAACGGACATTGGAAAAACCTACCGTCCAAAAGCAGCTGCTCACACCTGCAGCGTGAGTCTGGTAGTATCTTGAGCGAGTAGTCAAGTATGGACCCAAAGTAATCACTCGTAGCATGGCAACGGCAGCCTGCTATTGACCAATGTGAACTCAACTCACATCCACGCTGTGACGAGGCGTCATCTCTGGCCAAAGCGACGTTCTGGAAGTTGACAGCCTGCTCTGGCTGGCTTGGTGCAATGCAGACAGCCGCTTGTAAATGACACTGCTGCTAAGACTGCGCAAGCTTCCTTGGTCCCTGGATGTCCCTGGCACCCTGAGCTTGAACACTTTCTGTCCTCAGGCTGGACGCAGAGTGTGCCGCTCTCGAACCTTCAGCTGATGGTCTTTCAGAAGACGAGCTCATCCGACGATGTCGACCGAAATCCCTCGGCGTCATCGCTCCGCTCGTTATCCGCCTGTAATTTCGCTTGCTTGCGTGGCTGCATGTTCAGTCGCTGTTCGTTCTTGTACATGGCCGGAGCTGCCAAGGAGGCGTGAGAGTCGAAGCCCAACAAGCCTGGCGAGCTGCTTCATGCCCTGGTGCGGTGTCGATGATGTGGAATCAGATGATGAGAGCTGGCAGTCGAATCCAAACTTGACAAGGACAGGCTACAGTATCGCCAGCAGACGCAAGAAGCTGAATTGTGTAGATAGTTTTCCTGCTCCAGGCAACCGCAGCATTCCTCCGGACCGCCTCAGACGCAGTCTGCCGAGAAATGCTCAGAGAGTCCGGACTGCGCCGGTCCCTTCGCTGAAAGAGCTTGACTTTCTGGATGTTGTGAAAGCCCTCGCGTCGAGACTCCCTCCCAGCCCAGAAGAAAGAAAAGAGCGAGAACCGAGGTGCTGAGTCTCGGGCCGGGCTAAGTGGGCTTTTGGAGAGGGGTAGAAGTGCAGCAGACCCGGACCCAAATTCGTCTTTCATCAGAGAGACCTGCACCGCATTAGGAGCTAGGCGGGATCGGCTCTTTCAGGACTTGGGTTGCGGGGGCGAGGTATTGGGTTTCTTGCTTTCTTACTTTGTCTTTCTGCATTCAGACCGAAGTTCTTTCGCTTTCCGAGGCTTGTGGGGCGACGGCTTCGACGGCTTTACTTCCCTGTTTTTGAGGATCACAGTCTTGCTGTTGCTG